TTTTTTATGGGGTTTTTTTGCTACTCTAACATTCCCCCATCTGAAGAGGTAACCCTAAAATCTTTTAGAGATTAGATAAAAGCTCCCAAATACTTTTTACAAAAATGTCTATTATCTTTGAAATTGGTAGAATTAATTTGTTTTATCTATATCACTAGTTTATTTAGGATTTTCTCTGCCAGGTTATTATCAATCTAGGATTTTTTTTCAGGTGACTTTTTTTTCAGGTGACTTTTTTCAGGTGAATTCAGCAATTCTAATAAAACATACAAATTCTTTTCTCCCTTGCTAAAACTCTGTCTGATCATGAACATTTTTACTTCATTCCAGTTCATTCTATTTGTTTATGTATCAAGACTACATTTTTTAAAACAAATATATCCTTTTAGTAAACTTACTATCCATCATTGATTTACTCTTCTATCTGAAAGTTTGTGAAACTACTCCTTCTTGATTATTATACACAATTTCTGTTTACACATCATCTTTTATAAGAAAGTATATCACGCTTCATTTGGATTATTTCAGAATTATTAATTGATTTATAGAGAGTTGATCTTTGATTTGTTATTTGTGATTGTTTATATTGACTGTCATCTTGAGAGGACCTGGAATCATCCCGGAGACAAATCGTGGACATGTCTTTGAAGGATATCTAAATTAGATTGATTGAGGTGGGGTGACACACCTTAAATCTGGCCAGCACCATAATTTAACAGATTGAGGTCCTAGACTGCACAAAAGGAGAAAGCCAGGTAAGTACCAACCAGGATTTTCTCATCACTCTCTGTTCCTAACTGCAAATGAAATGTGGCTTACTGCCTTCCCCATCATGATGGAGAGCATCCCTTGGACTCTAAGGTAAAATAAGTCCTTCCTGTAAGTGGATTATGGTCAGATATTTGATCACAGCAACTAGAAAAGTAACTAATACAACATTGTTAGATGTGCTTTTGTTTTTTGAGACAGAATCTTGGTCTCAAGAACAGTACTAGCAAAAGTTAGCCTACAACTTGAGAGTATCCTGCCTCATGTAGGCACATCCTGCATTTATGAGGCAGTGTAACAAAGTGCTATAGCACCAAATTCCATTGGGAATAATTACCACATTCTGTAGGCCAAAGTTGGTACTGAAGAAGATAAATATGTTTTCTACGTTTCCTTTTGGGCATTACGCAAATTAATAGAAAGGCAACAAGATATCTTGCAGCCACCTGACATAGATACTATAACAAATGGCTGTCTACAAGGCACAAGGAATTCTCTAATTAGACATAGCAACTGAAATTTAAGCAAAAAAAAAAATATGCTGGTACAAGAAACTTCGAAATTATTGTCTGCCTCTATGTAATGATAAATAAAGTTAGTGAACAAAATTATTAACCACAGAGGCCAATGAGTTATTTGCTATAACTATTCTCTTGGGTTGCAAAGTACAGGACCAACAACCACTGAAAATAAGGGTGAGTCGTTGGCTGTAACCTGAGCCAGCCTTGATCATTCTTACCAAAATTGGTGTTTCCACCTCCCGATGTTTGTGGGCACACAGGACAGCACTCCCCAGTGGGTATTGTAGGATTGGCACAGGTGAGCACTTCTTGGCATTCTATATTGTCACAAAGAATGGCGCCGTTGTCACAGACACAGATCTGACATGGAGAAGGTTTCCAAATGTCCCTGTTTAAGTACATCTGGCCATTCTGAGTGCAGGCTATTTCTTCGTCATAATCTAAAATAAGAAGAAAAGAGTTAACCATCTGAAATTTTGTCATTTGGGAATTGTTTAAGATGATGAAGCATATTGTCACTGTTAAAAAGTTCCAAGAATTAACCTAAGGTTGGGGAGCTGACTCAATCAGGAAAGTGCCTATTGCACAAGAATGAGGAGCCGAATTGGATCTTCAGGGCTCATATAAAAAACTGAGTGTGGTCATAAATGTCTGCAACCCTAGTGCTGGCAGGCAGATCCCAGAGCTCCTGGTCAGTCTATCCAAGTAGTGTGCTCCAAGTTCAGTGAGAGATTCTGCCTCAAAAGACAAGGTAGAGGGCAACAGTGGACACACACACACACACACACACACACACACACACACACACAAGCAGGAGCACAAAGAACTAACCTATTTAGGAAAGAAAGCACAAATGAATATATTCTATTCAGTATATACAAAAAACAGTAAGTAATTAAGAAATTATGAATGAAACTACCCTCCCTAATGGCTGAAGAAGAAATGGAAAAAAAAATATTCAAATTACAAATGCTTTTAAGCTAGAAAATACTTCTCACAAAATTTTATTTTTGAGGGTATGAGTCATAAAGAATAATAAAAATAGTAAAAAGGCATAAAAATCAACTATTTGAAAACAGAGAGCAGAAGGAAATTTCAAGAGATTATGAAGCCTTAGTATCCAGTGCACCCTACATGGCTTACAATTTACTAGTAATTTTAGATTAGTAAACTCCATGTCAGGAGTTAGAATATATTTGTGTACTGAGAGAAGCTTCCAAGTGGTATATGGGCTTATTAAAAGTATTTTAAACATCAAAAAGAAGCAAACAAACATTTCTCTTTCATGAATTAGATTTCCATTAGCCATACTAAACTAAAGGTACTCTCTCATTCAACACAACTCAGAAACACAGTTCACACAGAATAATAGTAATTATCTTTCCATCGGATTAATTAAAGAAGGTTGTAACAAAGAAATATAGTATGTTATTATGTAGCATTTGCTAATTACCTTTCCATATTTTGATAGCTTTAAAATATTGGGAAATAATTTTGCACATGAGCATACAAAGTAATAAGAATTCTACTTAATATAAAATACATATATTGTATTTAAAGAGACATCTTCTAAAAGGGCTTTTTATGGGTAGGTGTGTGAACATGTGTGAGTTTATGTGTACTGTGTGAATACAGGAGTCTATGGAAGTTAAAAGAGTGTGTCAGATCCCCTGGAACTGGAGTTACAGGTGGTTGTTAGCTGTCGTGTGGGTACTGGGAACTGAGTCTTGGTCCTCTGCAAGAGCAGTAAGTGCTCTTAAGCACTGAACCATCTCTCCAGCCCATATGTTATGTCTTTAACTACAATTTTATAAGAAACCAATCTACAGTATATTAAAGCATAATGTGTATTATATTGCAATGCTTATGTACTCAAGAACTTCTCCAGATACTTAAATTCAACGCATCTATAAAGGCTAAAGACCTTGCTTTTCAGTCTTTGCACATACTGGTCCTATTTTCTCTCCTTCATCCCATATTTTCAGTGCTATCACAACTTGCTTAATTGAAATCTTCTTCCAACATTCTTTTCCAACAACCCTACATGAATTAGGCTTCTTCAATTCAATTGATATGCTTTCTAGAACTCTTTAAATAATTCATTTATTATTTTTTAAAATATTTTATTTATTATCCTTATTTTATGTGTATGAGTATATTGCCTGCATGTATGTATTTTTAATGTCTTGTAATTGAAGCTAATTGAATAATTACTGAAAAGCAAAGCAAACATATCTGCCTTCATGAAAATTACTATTAGTATTAACTTTTAAAAATGTTTTATCACCTCCTCCACTAAAGGGTAAAATCATAAAGTTAAGGATTGGTTGTTTCTTAGTCAAAATTGAATATCCAATTCTTTACATCATACCTGTCATAGGGCTGTATTTCAATAATTATTTGTCCAATGGATAAATGGTCAGAAGGAAGGGAGGAGAAGGGAGGAAGTGGGAGGGAGGTAAGGAGGGAAGGAAGAAGAAATCTAAATTCTGATTCACTAACTTTATAGTATAGCTAACTTTGAAATTCATAAATTAATTTTAAAATATATCTGCATGGTTTAAAGACATTATTAGTGGCATAGAAATATACTTAAATGCTGATGAAGAACTACAGAAAGAGATGACAATTAAGTAAGCCAAGAAAGCTACGGGAACCTGGGATGAAAGAGAGAAAGACAAGACCAGGCAACAGGACCAGTGGGATAGTAATCTTAACACCAAAAAATGAACCTCGTACATTTTTACTTGCTATTTATACCTCCATAAAATAAGAATATTTTTCTCACACCACGAAAGAATAATTTGCTTCATATGTATATACATATATATTTTTTTCTTTTGCCATGGACCTGTGATAAAATACATGGCAAAAGGAAAATCTTCAGAGTAAAATATGTGTGTGATTTTACAAGAATGCCAAGTTTTGAACCTGTTTGTCTTAAAGATCTTTACTACATAATAAATATCTAATCAAAAAAATATTGACTATGTCTACAGTGCTATTATAGGCATTTAAAACAAGGAGAAAATAGGATTCGTGTTTTTAGAAAGATTTTTATTTTATGTGTTTATTTTTGTGTTTGTGTGCCTCTGTGCATTAATGTGATTTTCTAGAAAGCTATCTTGAAAACAAAAAAGTAAACATAAAAATGTGTGAAGGGGCCCAGGCCCTGAGCATTGTTCAGCAAGTAGGGGACCCTGGATTCCCATGCTCAGTTCTGCCTATGCTGCCCTGGAAATTCCTTCACCAGAAGCCAAGCTCAAACAGCTTCCTTCACCTTGCTTCCACTGCTTAGGCCCTCCTACACCACCCAGGAACCATGCTCCAGGAACCATGATCCAGACACTGGCTACTGGCCTTCCACACCAGACTTCCCACAGCTCGCACTTCAGGAGCCCATCCCACATGGCCTCCTGTAGCCATTAGGAGATACCAGCTTCCCTTGCTTAGGCCTGCCCAAGTCACTTTGACACTTTCTGCCTACTGAGACCTACCTTTCCTGAACACTGATAACACCTCCATTGAAAGAAGAAAGGTGACTTGAGGAAAGAGAAAGAGAGAGAAAAGAAAAAGAAACTCAACCAACAAACTACTCCAGATGTATAAGTCCCAGTGCAGAAACAGAAACAACATGAAAACTCAAGGCAACATGTCTACTCCACAAATTATTAATTATATAATAAAGGCATATAATAAAAAATGACCTGGAAGAACTTCCAGAGAAGTAATTCAAAGAATGATTGTGTTCTGGGCACGACAGTACACACCTTTAATCCCAGCACTCTGAAGGCAGAGGCAGGAAGATCACTCTGAGATCATGTCCATCCTGGTCTTCCTAGTGAGCTCCAGGCCAGCTGTGGCTATAGGGAAACCCTATCTCAAGAAGACCAAAAAATATTTTAAAGAATTATTGTAAGTATATTCAAACAATTCAAAGAAGACATGAATATACTCCAAGAGAACAAAAAAACAAAGAATTGATTAAAATAAGAAAGTCAGTCCAAGGTATGAAAATAGAACTCAACAATGAGAATTTCTGAAGAAAACCCAATCTGACGTGATGTTTGAAATTAAAAACTCAATAAACCAAATAAAAACCTCAGTGGAAAGTCTCAGCAATCAAATTAATCATGTAGTAAACAGAAACAGAGTTGGAAGATAAGGTAGAGAAATTCAATTGAATCACTCAGTAAATGAAAATGATAATTTTTTAAATATATAAAAAAGGGACAGTTCAGCACCATGAAAATACCTAATACTTCAGATTATGGGCAAAGAAAAAGGAGAAGTATACTGTAGAGAAGGCATAGACATGAACAATTCCAGAACAGTTAATCAAAAGTGGTCTCTGATTTTCATTTAATTATCCATGTCTTCTGGGAGTAACACTGTCCACACATTCAGGCTAGTTCTGTGCAAACTCTATTTTTTTCAAAGTTATACTTTGAAGTTAACTTACTAATTACTGGCTTTTCATACATCTTTTCAATTATTCTTGGATTTTGTTAAATCACCCACTAGTGCATCCTTGTAGTAGTACAAGGCATGGGATACCTCTTGGCAAATTATTGGTCAGAGAGGCCCCAGAAGTCTCCAGAACAACACAGGTTATTGCCATTGACCTTGGTTACCCACCATAAATATATGGCAAGACTGTAGTGCTGAAGATACTGCACACTTTGACTGTAGGACTTACTAAGAAATTGACATGAAACAACTAGAAAACATCCTTATTGCTGGCTGAATTACATAGTACTAAAAGGTTCAGTGCAGGCTGCTGGGGGAGAAAATACATCAATGGTCTTACCCAGAGCTGGACTCTGAATATTGTAATACTGACCTGCCACGTAAGATGCATCTAGTGGTACAATAGTGACATGGTGTGTCTATTATGGAGTAAATTTCCTCCTGCTTGGATTTGTGGCCTGATCCACAGGAAAATATTTAATATCTGGTACTATAATCCTGGTCAAAAGCCCTTGACTGGGAAGGTTATAGGCCCTAGAGTACATCCTGTTGTTATTTTACTAAATAGTCATAGTATCAAATTACCTTTTGAATTGTTTTTATATCACCAGACCTGAGTTTCTCTCAACCTAACTCAGAGAAGCTTCTTTCTGCACTGGACAGCACTCAATGGAGAGATGCATAACTGATCAAACTGGTAAGAATAAGTGACTCAGTGCTCGGCCCAAAACAGGATGGGTACCACCATCAAGATTCAGAGAACATCAGAGAAACAAAGGTGAATAGAATGTAAGAGCCAACGGGAGGAAGGCTGTGAAACATTATATACTATCTTCCAAACATGATATGGATATTGCAGCCATGAACTCACACCAGTGTTGGTTGCCTACACAGGACCTACACAACATCAAACCAACATAAAGTCTCAGTATAGATGGGGAAGAGGATCTCTAGGGCCCATTCAATATTG